AAAAAGCTTGAAAAACAGAAAATTTTGATCCATGCCTTTGGTTCCGTCCTTGACTGTAAACATTGCTAAATTTCTCGAAAATTGTATGCCCACAAAAAAAATCTTTAACAATTGTCAGGGGAACCCCTATTCCATACCGGTCCAGTCGGCCCACCACCTCCTGGTAGCATCATGTGTGTGACCAAGGCTGGGCTCTCTGCTGATCACTCCGGTCACATGCTTCTGTACAGTAACTACTTACACTGTATGACCCTGTATGGGAGCAACGGTCACAGTAACGGGTGCCCCGTTGCGTTGCTTGTTTTTGGCGGGGGTCACGGTCACGATGAGGCTTGTTGCTTTGAATTTATCATGACATAGCCAGAGAAAAAGCTGAAAAAATTGCTATGGGCTCCAAAGTACCTGAAATGAGTGGGAAACCAAGAATTTAGTGCTCCGACAGCAGTCAAGTGTAATAATACTGAATGCTACCTACACAGGTGCCCTGCAAAAATATTTCTTGTTGCTATGCTCACAGTGGGTCTCGTTGTCTGAAAAAAAAGGCAACGGGTATGTCACAATCCTAGAGCTGTTGCTCCCATACAGGGTTGTACAGTACCCGCAACCTAGTGCGGGAATCCTCAGAGTTTCTTCTCTTTGGATCTCTCTCGCTAGGTGCAATACACTTTCCTGTATTCTAGTGTACTTTGTTTATATGCCTTGGATCTCCCTCGCTAGACTCTTGAGTATTCTCAGGCTCCACGGTTGCCCTTACAACAATTGCAAAAGATGACTGGGGAGGTTTTCCCTGATGTGTTAACTCAGAGGTAAATAAATAAATAAAATTTGGTGGACAGAAAGGTCCTACAGACAACATATACAATTATTGAAACATCAGGCCACAACCAACCCGGCCTCTTCTTTGTGCAACTCACCCTCTGATAAATCCTCATCCTCATCCACCTCCTCTGCCTTCCCTGTACGAACAACAAGCTCAGTGAGTTGAGTCAAGTTCCTTCTGTACTGCTCTTTGACATCCTCACCAATCTCATCCAGCCTCTCATCAATATCCTGAACACGCTTGGATTGTGATGAGCGCTCAAAGAGTGGTTTTGCTGTTTCCCAGAATTCCAGTGCCTTCAACGAATCACCATGTGTCTTGGATAGATCCCCCAATCGAATCATACATTCTGCCCTGCCATGGTGGATGTCCATATGGGTAAACCCCTCCAAGGCAAGAATGAATAGAGAAATGGCTGTGAGTCCATCATTCTCACTCAGCATGACATCACCCAGGAATTGCAAGGCCTGGTAGACTTGTAGCCTCTGCTGTACCTTGAGTGAATGTGCAAGGAAAACTGTGGTCCACGATGAAGGATGATGAGAACCCTTCCAGCGAGTGTGGTCCCCAAGTCGCATAAGAGAGGCACTCACTGCGTTAGAGTACTTCCCCCACCCGGATTTGAGGCAGTTACGAAATAACAAGCTTGACACATCCCCCTCTCTGAGGTTGAGATCTGCCTGAACGATATTAATATCAGTAATTAAAATTGCGTCTTTGCTTGCTTTGGCAATGGATTGTGATGCATCAATTCTTTGTTGAATCTCGCTTTTTGAGACTCCCATCTCGACCTCAATCGCAGCAATGCTAAGCAGCATAAATGCTCGGTCATAAGATTCATTTGCAAGGGATAGGATAAGTTGATTTTGCATGTTATATGCCTCGACATATTCTGATTTGAGTACATGAACAGATGCCTCGAGCTCCATAAGATAGTGGTTGATCTCCCCGTGAGCCATTCCAACCAGAGCAAGCAGTCTTTTGGCTCTAGTGATTATCCCGATGCAATGTTTGTAATTGCCTACAGCTGCCAAGTAATGTGCCTCCTGGTATAATCCACCTGCTTCCAGGAATAAATCTCCAGATATTTTTGCAAGCCTCTGTCCCTCCTTGGCATGGGTTCGAACAGCAGCATAGTCACCAGTGAGAATTCCAGTTTGGGAAAGGTAAAGGAGTGTCCGAGATTGCCTCTCGTAGTTTCCACTTGACTGTGCCAAAGAGAGAGCAGTTTGAAAGTGTTTCAAAGCTGTAGGTATGTCTTGCTTATATTCAGAGTAGTAGACTCCTAGATTATCATGAAACCTGGCTGGGAGTGTCTTTCAGTGTACATTACACAGGCTGAGCAGAGAACATACATTCAAGATCTGGGTTGTCAAAGTGCTTAAGGTGGTCCAGTGCTTGAGCCATCAGGGTCTCCGGATGGGAGATCGAACGATATTTCAATGATTGAAACAGTTCACAAATAAGGTGCACCTTCAACTGATGATCCCATAAAGATGGAAGGAGATAGGTGACCTCCTCTAGAAGAGGAGTTACTCTATATCTAATGAGCCTGCTGAACTTATTAAAATCACATGCACAATAGATGTTATCTGTTGTGTCAGAATGCCCGTGCAATAGACCATGTTGGAGAATATTCTCGATATTTGTGAAATTTGAACTTATTTGATGGACAGAGGAAGCTGCTGAAGTCTTCCCACCATACACAACATAGAGTTTCAGAAGCTCACAAAAGTGCTTGAAGAGTGGTCTTATCATCTGAGCTGTGGGAGGAAACAGTCTCCCCATGTATTCCCTTACAGGAACCAAGACCTTCAAGCGTTTGTGGTCATCAGTGTACGCCAAAGCAGTGCGTAGCAATGCAATTTTACAACCAAGGATATCCTTGATGGGAAATTTGGTCTGCTTGAGCTCTACATCTGAAAGTCCATCTGGGAGCATAGACAGCAAGGCTAACAGATCCTGGGAATTGGGCACTGATGTGATTCTGGGGCTAGCAAGGGAGAGTGATATAGACAGTTCCAGATTGGATCTTCTGTCATAGCCCTCTGAGATGAGGGAGGTTTTCTCTGTCTTCCAGCGAGATAATACTTCAGAGCAGCCTTCCATGTCTACAAGATGAGCCAAAAGGCTGATTGAGAGGGGCATATTGTCTGTGAGGCAAAGGACTTCATCCACCTCCTTCATTAAATGCCTGTCATCTGCAATATCAATGAACATTTTTCGGGCAGCATCCTGAGCGAGAGGCTGCAAGGGTAACAAAAATGGCCGAGTCCACTGCACTTTGGCTGGTCTTTCTGCTCCTCGCATTGTAATCTGGGGCTTGATGATGAGTGAAATTTGTGGTAGGAAAGAAATTTTTACAAACCACCAATGCGAGACTGGCTATGCCTGTGAGGAGGGACAGGAACTCTTCAATCTCATTGCGGGATTCAACTGGCTCCCACAGTGTCTCAAGGTTATCAAGAATCAAGAAGTTGGCTGGACCACTGGAAAGGTGCCATAGAACTGCTTGGGTCATGTCTTTGCCAGGCTTTAGTCCAAGATGGGCTCCAATGAGACTTGCAAGTTTTGCTTTGCCCGATGCAGTGTCACAGGTAACAAAGAACCGATTCCCATGGTACTTGGTCGTTATTTCCTCATGGTGCAATACAGTCCTTGCTAGACTGGTCTTTCCCATCCCGCCTGCACCCAAAATAGCAATTCTTGGAGTGCCCTGGTTGAAAAGCTTGAGAATATCTGCAAGCTCTGAGTCACGACCATGGAATATTTTTGGCTCTGCTGGTAGCATTGAGATGGAGTTTGAGCTAAGGTATATAAGCACAAGGAAGAGACAGAGTTATTGGAATTAACCACCTTGCATATGAGGCAGAGTACATCTTGCTAATCTGCAGGGCTGTTAGTACAGATACTCTCAAGGAGTCTACTCACATACAGAAGAAGCTGAATCTGAACTAGGCATTGTTTCAAGTATGTTGAGTATCTCCTGGTGTCTGAGCTGAGCCTGGTCTTGTAGCTCCCTCACACTCTTCATGATGTTTACAGTTTTGATCTTTGCAATCATCAGTTGCTATATGGTTTCAAGATGAGTACTTACATTAAAGAAATAAAATCCCTGTTGCAATCCTGCCCTGCAATCCTTGAGCAGCACACTCAGCTCTCCCTGACGGAAAAACATCTTGACTTTGCTGCTACTTTGTTGAGCCTCAAAAAAGGTATGAATTTTGAGGAGGGTCCTAAATCCATGGAGTTAGAAATACAGATGGTGTTGAGGATATAGAAGTACTCAGTGAATTTTGCAATCTGATTCAATGTGCTGGGTGGCAATTCAGCACCGGTGTCAGATTTGATATACACAATAATGATTGCATTAAGTAATTCATGAGTGTGCTCCATCAACTCAGCACACTCATTTTTATCTTGTTTGATAGTCTAGAACACAGAGTGAGGACTGTTTCAATACCAATTCAGTCAAAAATGTACCTGCATCAATTTCAGAAGGGACTGTATGGTGTTCGAAATAGCCTCCAGGCCAGAGATATTGAGGGTGTCCACAAGGACATCAAATGTTTTGGCCGTGATGGCCACACACTTCGAGATGTTGTTCAAACGAACCTTGGTTATAGTTGGTTGACGGGGCATGTTGGGAGGTGTCATGGCATTTGGAAGTCATCGGAAATTTATAGTACTCAAAGGGAGCTTGGGAAATTTTGTTCTCATTGGCTACTGTTCATCTTTTCTTAAGCTGTGTATATGATATTCATATCGTGTTCTGATCCTTGGTTATGGGAAGATCATCCTAAAATATCTGATAGTGTATTTCTCCTGGCAGTGTACTGCTGTCCACACCATCCAACTGGATTGGATCATGATCACTTGGCTGAAGTACTTAACTGTTGAACTACGCAGGCACACATAGAGAAATTCCAGGGAGGTATGTATGGGTAAGGACAAACTTCATAGAGGTAAGATATGTGCCTTTGGTTCCTCCTCTACAATTTTAATGACTCAGATGGAAGTTGAGGGAGGGAAAAGCAAATAAAAGACAAATCATACTACATGACTGGGGGAAAGATAAGAAAACAATTGATTCTACTGTAGCTTATGCCTCCGTCGCCGGCGAGCCAAGACGGCGACAAAGGATAGGAGAAAAAAGTAGATAAAAACATCTTCAAACTCATGCCTCTCGGATGGGAGTTGAACCCACGTCTCTTCATGAAGAATCTGGTTTTTCAACATGTCTGAAGCACTCAACCGTTGAGCTACAGAGGCACAAGATCTGTGGAGGCTAAAATCTATGTACAGTCAACTCTGCCCTAACCCACATCTTGTGGTTTCACCCCAAATCTATGAGTTACTGCAGAGTTATGGATTTTCCCAAGGTTTTCCACTACTTTGCTCTACCAAAATCGGGTAAAAATGACTCGGAAAATCATGGGTGGGTTAGATTTTGATGTGGCTGTACAACTCCCATCCACCCATCTGATCTCTGTCGCTGCCCACTCCTATCACTTAGCATACTCGGTGGAAGGTAAATGCTGTGAGAAGTAGAAGGGGATACTATAGTGTTTCAACCAACTGTTCACATCACAGGTCACGGAGGTTTGTGAATTGAACATGTTATATCCATGTCCCGACCCTTCGGACTTAGGTCCGAGGATGGCCGAATGGCTCCGATCGGACCCCCGGCTCCGCTCCGTCAGAGCGGGACAAAACAACGGAGGGCGGCGGACTTCCTTCAGAAGTCCGTATCGCGCCATAAGGCGACATCCTTATTGTCCGCCTCGTTCAGGACTTCTTACTTATTGTCCAAACCACTTCTTCCACCCCTTTCGGATATAACCTTATTGTTACTTCCGCATGGAACCTTACATATCTCCTTTCCGTATTACAATAAGACCCTTTAGTATTTAATCACTTAGACTACAACACTGTACAGTCTGTACTTCAGATTTATTATTAACGTTGCTTCGCACTCCCTGCAAGTAATCTGAGTTATCGCTCAGGAACTCCACCTGGAGCTCCGTCTCGTCTATCCCGTACTCCGAGGCCAAGGGTAGTAATGTTCACCCTGCTCCCTAGTGGTGTAGCGTCATCTGATCCTCCGGTCACCAGTTTCCCCGACTCTGTCACTGCGCTCCGCTCCGACTCTGGCACTCCGGTATCTCGGAACTCTGTCCGACTGGTCGGTCGGCCCTCATATCCGTAGCTCGGATATAACAGAACACTTTTGTACATCGTAACACATCACAGCCCTCAAGATCATTGAATTCGGGGGAAATTGATGCCAAAAATTCAATTTTCGTGGCCTGGATTACCATTTAAGGAAATTGTGGCCATGCACAACAACCTGTGAACAGTTGGTCAAAACACTACAGTATTGGAGAGAGACTCAACTCGGGCACAGATAGACATAGACACGGGCACAGGCAGACTCAGGCAGACTCAGATGAATATGTAAGACAAGGCGATAAGATACGGACCTATATGATGTTGACAAAGTGAGATCAGTGATGTCAATATGGAACAGCAGCAGCACAGCCACTTCCCATTTTCGGACGAGCTGTGCCTGTAATCCTGGGGCTTACTTACATGGTGCTGCCAGCCACACACATACCTTAGGCTAGCTTCCTCTCCCCGTTCACCTCTTCCTACATACACTGCACCAAGTTGTAGGGAGGCAACTGCCTGAGGGCCGTGACTAGGCCGTTGCCTATTTTTAGGCAACAGCGGGGACCGTGACCGTTGCTTCAGGAGGTAACCAGATTCATTTTTTTGAAGTAAGTCATCTGCATTTTAGGGATCCTGTGTGCATATCCTCTGTTTGAGAGAGATTGTGGATGAGTTCCGGTCCATTTTACTTCGCTTTCAGGGCTAGTAGATTTTTCCAAGATTTTTTCCTCAATGTTACAATAATTTTGAGGCAACGGCCCAACTGTTACCGTGACCCGCCAGAAAATAGACAACACAACAGGAGGCCTGTTACCCGTGACTGTTGCCTCCCTACAACTTGGTTACCTTGCTTTTGTAAGGTCCCACTCCCTGACAAATAACTAGCCAAAATCTGCGAAAGCCAAACATCAGAGCCCCATTCAAAGCCCCATTCGTCCTCTGAACGGGCCGGGTTGCTGTTGCTAGCTTCTTTTTGTTCATCGTTATTCCTCAAATCTGCTCGCACCAAACAACAACCAACTACGGCCTCCCCACGAGCCACGTTGACAATCAAACCCGGCCTCCTCTGACGGGCCGTGTTGCCGCTGCTAGCTTCTTTTTGTTCCTCTGATCTGCTCGCACCAAACAGCAACCAGATACCGTCTCCTCTTACTGACTGCCTGTATTAACTTCTTTTTGTCGTACTCGATAGGTGTGCTTGACAGACCACTGATATTGTAGCACCACTCACTTGTGCTCCTGTTTATGTTCGAAGCTTATACTGTAGCACTGGTGTTCGTCCGAAATCATCCAGACGAGAGCTGATTGTTGAAAGGAATGGTGGCTGTCAAAAGCACGGTTCTAGACGGCAGTAGCCGGCCCCTAGTACAGTACTTCTTGCTACAACAAATACACCCGCAGAACTTGAGTTTCAACTTAGACAGTTTCGTGAATTGTGGTGAGCACGATTCTAGTACTAGCACATTGACTTCCTCTTTATATTTTCCCTCTTGCTTCTCAGATACTCACACAAGGCTTCCAGCACTATAACTAACCAAATACATCACACTCAGACAATAAATTGCCTCCAGGTTGTGAGGTTCTGTTCCCTCTGGCAGAAGCTGCATCTGCTCGACATCGCCTTCGTGTTAGGCTGTTTTGAGGACTCAGGTGTGACTGGGAGTTCCTGCTGGAGAATTTGGTAAACACTTCTCCCCTACCACTAGTACAGGCGGTCTCTTGGCATAGCTTGCCTGTTCAGTGGCCATCCATAGGCCGAGGCCCCCAATTAAATCCATGTGTACGTAGCGAGAGCATCAAGAACAGAAGACCTCACGTGTTCCTTGTTGTGAATCATCTCTATCCCTGGGGATCTCAATGTTAGTGTAAGGGAAGAGAAAGCACTGTAATAATGCAAGTGGATTGTTGCAGAGTCAGGGTATTGTGTCAGCACAGAGCCTTAACTAGCAGGGTTACTGCGACGTAAGTGACTGGTGATACAGAAAGAGATAGGTTTAAGATAATCCAATTAACTCTGAAGAATAGACTAGATAGTGTAAAGAATACAGAGCTGTAAGTAGGGTTTTTATAGTAAAATGTGTAGTAGCTGGTAACAAAGTAATTAAAGTATATGTGAAATACGTCGGAGGTGTCGACATTGACGGCGCAGCGTGTAATGCGGCAGAGAGGGGTGATCGTTGGAAAAGCAATCAGAGGGAAGTTGAAATAAAAGGATCAATGATGCACCTGATGGGATTCCTGATCCGTGGTCGGCATTGATCTCAGCATCCAGGTTATTCCGTAGTCGAAGTTGAATAACCCAGGCGGGTGTTAGGTGGATAACCTGGGCGTTTAGGAGGGAATAAGGGAAAAAGTGAGAATCATGACATATTGGATGCATGTGTATGTTCAGTATATTGGGATGATTCTGTGCTGCTTGCATGTTTTTTCAGAGAGGTGCCAGAGCATGAGTGGTCATGAACACACACAGAGATGAAGATGAGGCAGAGACACAGTGTGGCCTGTTGTGCAGTGATGGAATGATGTGACCGGTGCTGATTAACATTTCCTTCCAAGGAGGGGGTCTTGGGTCTTGTAAATTATTAGCTGATCCAGGAATCAAGCACCCTTGAAACAAATAATTATAACAAATGCTTAAAAAGAATGGAAGAGAAGGAAAAGAACTGACAAAGGAAATTAACATTTAGAAAAGGCAATGCCTCTTGAACTCACACCACCTTGAAAGAAATTGCCAACCTTCAGTACAATTTCTTCCGAGGGGATCTTGGTGATCGACCTACCATGTTCAGAATAATTCTGAACCCTGTTAACTCAGAGGTAAATAAATAAATACAAAACTTGGGTGGACAGACAACATATATGATTGTTGAAACATCAGGCCGTAACCAACCCGGCCTCTTCTTTGTGCAACTCACCCCCTGATAAATCCTCATCCTCCTCCACCTCCTCTGCCTTCCCTGTAGGAACATTAAGCTCAGTGAGTCGAGCCAAGTTCCTTCTGTACTGCTCCTTGACATCCTCACCAATCTCATCCACCCTCTCATCAATATCCCAAACCCGCTTGGCCTGTGATGAGCGCTCAAAGAGTGGCTTTGCTGTTTCCCAGAACTCCACTGCTTTCAACAAATCACCATGCTCCTTGGATAGATCCCCAAGTCGGATCATGCATTCTGCTCTGCTGCGGTGGACATCCATAGACGTAAACCCCTCCAAGGCAAGGATGAAAAGAGAACTGGCAGTGACTTCATCATCCTCCCTCAAGAAAACATCACCCAAGAATTGCAAGGCCTGATGGGCCTCTAGTCTCAGTTTAGTCTTGAAGGAGTGAGCAAGAAAAACTGCAGTCCAGGAAGTTGGATGAAGGGATCCCTCCCAGCGATTGATATCTGCAACTCTCTCAAGACAAAAGCTCACTTCTTGGGAAATTGTTCCCCACTCTAATTTGAGGCATTTACAGAACACCAAGCTCGACATATCACCATCTCTAAGATTGAGATCAGCCTGTACCACATCACACAAAGCCCCTAGCATTGCATGGTTATGTGCTTTGCTGATGTGTTGTGAGGCATCAATTTTACTGCTAATTTCATTGCTGGAGACCCCCATCAAGATCTCAATCTCAGCAATATTAATCAAGGCATTGGCTTGCTCATAAATATCATTAGCTGTCCGTTGCAAAATTTGATTCCAGATGTTATGTGCCTCAAAGTATTCAGATTTCAGCCTGTGAACCTCGGCTTGAATTCCCATAGATGTGTAATTGAGCTGTGCAGAGGACAGACCACACAGACCTAGAATTGTTCTTCCCCTGGTGGTCAGGGTGATGCATTGTCTGTAATCACCCAGTGATATCAAGCAAAAAGCCTCGTGGACGAGTCCACATGCCTCTCTCCACAGATCTCCACAAATTTTAGCAAGCCTCTGCGCCTCCTGTGCATGCAATTGACCAGCAGCATGGTGACCAGCAAATGTTTCAATTTGTCCAAGGGTATTGAGTGCATCACATTGCCTCCTGTAGTTTCCATTTGCCTGTGCTAAGGAGAGGGCAATCTGACCATGCTGTAAAGCTGTGGAAATGTTGTGGTTGTGTTGAAGGTAGT